TTGGTTTGGCAACACCGAACATGTGTGACATTGTGATAGGTTGTGGTGATGGTAAAATGTTGAATGAATAGATGAATGGCTGGATGGATGTAGAGATGAATGTTACCGCCGCCGCCGTCGCCACTGCCACTGATGATGATGATAATTTTCCTATGATGATCTCGTTGTCAGTCAACGAACACAGTTGGTGATGACAGACAAACAGAGAGACAGACAGACATACCGAGAGTAAAACATATGTATATATATTTTATGTGTGTGCATGTGCGTCAATCTGTCTGCCAGGCACAATTCATACCTTCGAAATATTTCGTAAATCTGTTGTTGATATGAATGTGGCACTGCTGTTGATTTGTGTTGTAAAGGGCTTTTGTTGTCGCTACGTATTCAAGCCGTTGTAAATACTCATACACACACAAATACATATTTGGCACACGCACATATTGCCAAAAAATAACTACAACAATAACAGAGACGAAGACAAAAACAAACTTGACAATTTTATTGTCATGTGCTACAATAAGATTTAAATATTTTATAAATTATTGAGGGAATATTTTTTATGTTCCAAAAAAAAATAAAAAATAACTACAAAAGGATTGCGATAGGGTCCTCAATAACACGCACTATAAAGTTTTCGAATTTAAAATAAGTAAAAATATTGAAAATTTAAAATTACACTCTGCAACCAAATTCAAATTTTTCAACAATTACAGGAAAAATCAAGCAGATCTTGAGAGGAGAGCTAAAAAAGGAAACACGTTAATCGGTTGTTTGAAATTTTACATTGCAATGTAAACTAAATAGAGGGGTATAATTCCCCCTTTTCAACACTTCTACAAATTTCCGAATTAAGATTCCTCGGAAACCATGCATTTTAGGTATATAGTGTCTTCGGCAATATGGCAGATAAAAATACAAGCAATATTATGCTAGACAATTTTAACCTTCAAGCGCGTCAATAAAGGGGTCTTTTTGGTCCTTTTTAAAATATATGGTTATAAACTCCCTTTAAACGGCTTCGTATCAAGTCAAAATATTCTACAAAATTATTTGTCGTAAAATTCTACAATAGGTTCTGGAAGATGTCAAAAGTCTAAACCTTACGTAAAAGCCAGGAATTCAAATATATTAGAAACACATTTAAGGGTTAAAACCGGTACTTCGTGTAAGTTTGTGCAAAAATCTCCAACAAATGATGATTTTCGAATGGTGACGTCAGAGAAAAAAATATTCTTCGTCGAATTTTTCTAAGGGTCACCAAAGAAAAGAAATCTCTATTTCCTTAAAATATCAAAAAATTAAGGCATCAATGTTCCAAAACAAAAAAAAAACGGGAAATATTCCCTTAATAAGTTTGTGCAAAATTCCAATCTTCAACAAATAATAATTTTCGAAGGGTGACGTTAAAGACAAAAATATGAATGCTTCATTTTCCATTGTATATCAAATATTCATCTCATGTTTCTGATTGAGAGAAATATTTAAATATAGCAGGTTGTAAAAAATCGCTGACTTGTTTCGCAAGTTATGACAAATTAAAGTACTAAAAATTGTGACCCTTTGTTGGTGAGGTACCAGAAGGGGATCATACTTACAAGAGATCTTTTCTTACCACAAATGTTTGTGTGTGTAAAATTTGAAGAGAGTAGGATGCTTATTTTGCTTTCTTTGAACGTTTTGTTTCTCAAAATCTTGAACCCTATGTGGGAGAGGTATCAGAAGAAATGATCCGATACCTACCATCTTTACAAAAGATCTTGTGTTGATGCAATTATTGAGATGTACCAAATTTGGAATGGAAGCGGATGTTGATTTCGCTTTTTATGAGGTTCATGGATATTCAAAATTTTGAGCCTATGTGGGTGAGGTACCAGAAGGAGAGGGTAGATATATCCCATATTCACAATAGATCTTTTGTTAGTAGTATAATGAAACAGAACCTGATGCTTATTTCAGATTTTATGATCGTTTTGGATATTCAAAACTTTGATTCTTTGTAGGGGAGGTGCCAGAAGGAATGGTTCGATCTCTACCGTCATATAACAGATCATGTGTTGATAGAAATATTCAGATGTGCTAAATCTAAATGGAAATCTAAATGGATGTTAATTTTGGCTTTTCATGAGCTTCATGGATATTCAAAATGTTGACCCTTTTGTGGGGAAGGTACCAGAAGGAGTGGGCTGAAATATTACATCTTCACGTCAGACCTTGGGTTAATAAAAATATTGCGATGTGTGTATTTGGAAGACAATCGGACTCTTATGTCACATTTTATTAAAATTAAAAATATTAAAAATTGTAGAGGAGGTACTTGATGGAGTTGACCGATATTGTCCAATTTCGCTTCTAACCTAGTGCTGATGCGAATATTAGGATTTGCGATGTTTGAGCAAAATCGGATGATCCCTTATCTTTCTGTTCAGTCAAATATTTTCTTTGAAAATTTCGAAATTTTGTTGGGGGAGGTACCAGAATTGTCCATTTTCGCACCTGAGCTAGCACGAATGCAAATATTAAGATTTCCTAGGTTGGGACGAAATCGGTTGATCCTTTCTCTTTCTGTGCAGTTTCTTTGAAAATGTTGATCTTTTGAGGGGAAGATGCCAGGAGGAATGGACCGATATTGCCCATCTTCCAACTCGATCTAATTTTGACCATAATATTACAATGTACCAAGTTTGGGCCAAATCGGATACTCCATTCAAGAGTTTTCGTGAGGATCAGCCAGACAGACAACAGACGGATACTCTAGATCGTCTCCAAATGTCTTGAAACGGATTTGGTTCAAAGAGATCTAAGGTCTAAAACCAATTATTTCGATAAAGCACGTTTTGACCGCATCAAATGATATATACCTTCTGTAGCCATATGGCTAAGGGTATACAAATACAAGCTGTTCTATATGTCCGCTGAAATTATTTAAAAAAATACACCTTCTCTTAAAGGAGCATGAAAAAATTCTACGTTTTTGTAGAGCAGTCCTAATTTTTTTTTTTTTTTTGAAAAATTTCCCCAGAAGCCCCTACAAGTGAATAAAAAATTCCACGTTCACCAAAATAAGCTCTCAAATTATATAAAAAACCCAGGTTCTCCTAAAAGACCCCTAAAATTATTTTTAAAAAATTGATATTATTCTAGAGAAACCCTAATATTATTTAAAAAAAAATTAAAATTATTTGAAAAATTCCACTTCTCTCAGAAGACCTCTTAAAATCCACGTCCTTGTAAATTGTCCAAAAAAATATATTTAAAAAAAAACACGCTCTCCTAAAGAACCCCAAAAAATATTTTAAAAATACACGTCCAACGTGGAAAAAATTATTTAAGAATTTTCTGGTCCTTGAAAATAGTCCCTATAATTATTTTAAAAATCCAAGTCCTTCGAGCAACTCCTTAAAATTATTTAAATATTTTCTAGTCCTTGAAAATAGTCCCTAAAATTATTTAAACATTTTACTGTCCTTGAAAATAGTCCCTAAAATTATTTAAACATTTTACTGTCCTTGAAAATAGTCCCTAAAATTATTTAAACATTTTCTCGTCCTTGAAAATAGTCCCTAATATTATTTTAAAAAATCGACGTCCTTGTAAATGTTTCCTAAAATAATTTTAAAAAATCCATGTCCTTGTAAATGGTTCCTAAAATAATTTTAAAAAATCCACGTTCTTGCAAATGGTTCTTAAAATAATGTTAAAAAATCCACGTCCTTATATGGGGTCCCTAAAATTATTAAAAAAAAACATGTCCATATATGGGGTCCCTAAAATTGTTTTAAAAAATCCACGTCCTTGTAAATGGTCCCTAAAATAATTTTAAAAAAATCCACGTCCTTGTAAATGGTCCTTAAAATAATTTAAAAAATTCCACGTTCTTGTAAATGGTCCTTAAAATAATTTAAAAAATTCCACGTTCTTGTAGCTAACTCCCAAAATTATTTAAAAAATTCCACGTCCTTGTAAATGGTCCCTAAAATAATTTTAAAAAATCCACGTCCTTGTAAATCGTTCCTAAAATAATTTTAAAAAAAATTCACATCCTTGTAAATGGTTCCTAAAATAATTTTAAAAAAATGCACATCCTTGTAAATGGTTCCAAAAATTATTTTTAAAAATCCATGTCCTCGTAAATGGTTCCTAAAATAATTTAAAAAAAAAAATCCACGTCCTTGTAAATGGTTCCTAAACTAATTAAAAAATCCACGTCCTTGTAAATAGTTCCTAAAATAATTGTAAAAAATCCACGTCCTTGTAAATGTTTCTAAAATAATTTTAAAAAATCCACGTCCTTGTTAATGGTCCTCAAAATTATTTTAAAAAATCCACGCCCTTGTAAATGTTTACTAAAATAATTTTAAAAAATCCACGTCCTTGTTAATGGTCCTCAAAATTATTTAAAAAATTGCACGTCCTTGTAAATGGCCCCTAAAATTATTTAAAAAATCCACGTCCTTGTAAATGGTCCTTAAAACAATTTAAAAAAAATCCAAGTCCTTGTAAATGGTCGTTAAAATAATTTAAAAAAATCCACGTCCTCGTGGTCCTTAAAATAATTTAAAAAAATCCACGTCCTTGTAAAATGTTCCTAAAATAATAAAAAAATCCATGTCCTTGTAAATGGTCCCTAAAATAATTTTAAAAAATCCACGTTCCTAAAAAAATGGTTCCTAAAATAATTTTAAAAAATCTACGTCCTTGGAAATGGTCCCTAAAATAATTTAAAAAATCCACGTCCTTGTAAACGACCCATAAAATTATTTAATTTATCCACGTCACAATTATTAAAAACGTTATTCAACAAATTTATTTGTCACCCTCAAAGTATGCTTTATATATTTTTAAATTTCCCCAATCATTCTCATTATCCAGAAAAACAGCCACCAGCCCAAAAAACAAAACTCCAAAAAACAACCAACCAACATCTTTACCTGCAATCACCCCCCATGTCAACCACACATCAGCATCGTTCCCAGTGCCCACTGCTGCTTAGCTAAATTGCCAAAGCCAAGAATGCCCAGCGATCAGTTGAATGAGAAACGCGAGAGTGAATGGAAGTGCAAAAGGTGGCAAAAAACAAAGCTTTGTAAAACCCATTTTAAATTGGGATGATTTGAAGTGCGTGTGTTTTGAAAATACCACAAGAAAAAAGTATTACAAAATCAATATTGAAATTGTGAAATATTTAGAAATGATTTATGATTTCCATGCGAAAAATGTTTGAAACTTTAGCCACAATTTCTGTTTCATTACCAAAACTTTAATAATGGAGTAGTGGCTTTTGGTTTTTTTCGCTTTTTCGTCAAATCAAACCAGTTTGTGTGGAAAAAAGCGCGTGCTGTTGTTGTTGTTGTTGATCTGTTTGCTGGCGTTGAGGAAGAAGTTTTGTTTACCCCAAAAGAAGCAAAAAACAAAACACGAAATATTTCAAGTGCCTCTGCAAAGAGCTGTATTTCCGTTTGAGTGTGAGAGGGAGAGAGAGAGTGCGCCTAAGCCAAGAAGAGAGTTAAGGAATTCCATTTGAAATTTTTAAAGTTTTGTTTTGATTTGTAGCTTCTATTTTAGAGAGAGAGAGAGAGCGGCAGAGAGAGGGTTCGTAATCATGTGTTGTGAAAAAAACATAAACAAAAGAATATAATTTAACGGTTTAATTTTACGATAAAACTCACAAAAAATATTTATCTTTATTTGCTAACAGCACGTGTATGTGTGTAAATTGACAGAGAGAGAGAGAGAGAGTGTGTGTGACAACTCAAAAAGACTAAGACAACAAACTTGATTTGATTTTCGGCACTGACTGATAAGAAAAGCAAAACAAAAGACTTAAGCAGCAAACTTGATCATTGACGGCGGCGGCGGCTCGCAAACAAAAGACTGAAGACACAAGCATCACGGAAGAGTAGAAAAAAATATACCTTTGCTTGTACATTCCGCTACGCTGTTATAACTTCTTGTTGCATCGCAACCACATTAACCGCAACAAATTATTATGGGTACACGTGTACCACCGCCCTGTCCCACCCCCGGCTGTGATGGTCAATTCATGGCCGGCCTACCTCAACTCATTGATGATTTGCAACGTTTATCCGAAGATCAAGATAGTGCCGATGTGGTCTTCATATGCGGCCGCGAAGAGGAACGCATCTATGCACATCGCATCATAATGATGGCACGGTAAGTTGGTAAATGAGGTGTTTAATTAGCTGAGAAATATTTAACTGTGGGAAGTAATTAAAAGGGGAGGATAATCAAAGGGGAATTAAAAAAACAAGGGAGGGTAGGAGGACGTGGATTTTCATTTCTAAAATTATTTTAGGGACTATCCACAAGGACGTGGATTTTTTTAAAATAATTTTAAGGACTATCTAAGGACTACATATAAGGACGTGAAATTATTAAAGTTATTTTAGGGACTATCTACAAAGACGTGGATTTTTTAAAATAATTTTAAAGACTATATAAGGATGTAGATTTTTTAAAATTATTTTTAAGGCCATATACAAGGACGTGAAATTATTAAAATTATTTTAGGGGCTATCTACAAAGACTTGGATTTTTTTAAATTATTTTTAAGGCCATATACAAGAACGTGGATTTTTTAAAATTATTTTAGGAACGATTCACAAGGACGTGGATTTTCTAAAATAATTTTAAGGACTATATACAAGGACATGGATTTTCTAAAATTATTTTTAAGGCCATATACAAGGACGTGGATTTTTTAAAAATATTTTTAGGACTATCTACAAGGACGTAGATTTTTTAAAATTATTTTTAGGACAATTTACAAGGACGTGGATTTTTTAAAATTATTTTTAGGACAATTTACAAGGACTTGGATTTTTTAAAATTATTTTTAGGACAATTTACAAGGACGTGGATTTTTTAAAATCATTTTAAGGACTATATACAAGGACGTGGATTTTTTAAAATCATTTTAAGGACTATCTACAAGGACGTGGATTTTTTAAAATCATTTTAAGGACTATATACAAGGACGTGGATTTTTTAAAATCATTTTAAGTATTATATACAAGGACGTGGATTTTTAGAAATCATTTTAAGTATTATATACAAGGACGTGGATTTTTTAAAATTATTTTAGGAGCCATCTACAAGGACTTTGATTTTATAAAATTATTTTAGGGGCCATCTACAAGGACTTTAATTTTTTAAAATTATTTTAAAGGCCATATACAAGGACGTGGATTTTTTAAAATTATTTTAATCACCATCTTCAAGGACGTGGATTTTCTAAAATTATTTTAATCACCATCTGCAAGGACGTGGATTTTTTTTAAATTATTTTAATCACCATCTACAAGGACGTGGATTTTTTTTAAATAATTTTAGGGAATATCTACAAGGGGTCCTCTGCGAAAGTTCGATTTTTTATTAATTTTAGGGAATATCTACAAGGGGTCTTCTGGGAAAGTTCGATTTTTTTATTAATTTTAGGGAATATCTAGAAGGGGTCTTCTGGGAAAGTTCGATTTTTTTATTAATTTTAGGGAATATCTACAAGGGGTCTTCTGGGAAAGTTCGATTTTTTTATTAATTTTAGTAACCTCGTCATAAAGCATAAATTTTGAATTAATTTTTTTTAATGTTTTAAGTAATATTCTCTGTCTTCTAGAAGAACGTGGTATTTTTAAAATAAGTTTAGGGGTCCTTTAAAGGAATATTGAATTTATCCAATCATTTTAGGGGTCTTCTGGAAGAACATGGAATTTTTCAAAAAAAAAAAAAGAACTTGGAATTTCCTCTAGAAAAAGTTAGAGTTTTTAGGGGTCTTCTAGGAAAACGTGGAATTTCTAAAATAATTATAGGATGGTACTTTAGGAGAACTTGTTGTTTATACCCTCAGTCATATGACCACAGAGAGTATGTATCATTTGATACGTTCAAAAAGTGCCTCATCGGAATAATGGTTTTGGACCCTAAGTCATTTTGGACCAAATACGTGTCAGGAGGTTCGTAGTTGAACAAAGGGAGTCTGTCTGACGGTCTGACTGGCTAGTGCACACGATAACTCTCGAGAGGGGTATGCGATTTGTTCCAAACTTGGTACATCCTAATGTTATTATAAAACTTAGATCGAGTTCTGAGATGGGCAACATCGGTCCACTCCTTCTGGTACCTCTCCCTCTATTTATATCAGTGCTAGATTAGGTGCGAAAATTGACAATATCTAACTACTCCATAAAGTATCTAACCCACAAAGGATCAAAATTTTGAGTAATTATAATTTAAATAAAATGTGAAATAATAGTCCGATTGTCTCAAATATTTCTATGAACTCTACATCTGGTATGAAAATAGAGTAGAAACGACCACTCTTTCTGATACCTCCCCCACAATTGGTCAAAATTTTAAATATTCATGACGGCCCTAAAACGTGAAATGACCATCCGATTATTTTCAAACTCAGCACATCTCGATATTTATATGAACACCAAACCTAGTATGAATATGGTAGATATCGGCCCACCCCCTCTGGTACTTCCCCCACAAAGAAGTCAAAATTTTAAATAATCAAAACGTTAATAAAATGGGAAATAAGCTTTCGATTTTCTTCAATCTTCACACATCGCTATATTATATTAAACGCAACATCTGAAACAAAGATGGTACATATCGGCCGACCTCTTCTGGTACTTCCCCCACAAAGGGGTCAAAATTTTGAATAACAAACACGCTCATAAAATACGAAATAAGCTTCCGTTTTTCTTTAAATTTCACACATCGCTATATTTTTATTGACACAAGCTGTGGTATGAAGATGGTAGATTTCAGCCCACTCCTTCCGGTACCTTCCCCACAAAGTTGTCAAAATTTGGAATAACCAAAACGTTAATAATATGCGAAATAAGCTTCCGATTCTGTTCAAATTTTACAGATCTGAATATTTCGATTAACTTTAGATCTGGTATGAAGAACGGATAGAATGGACCACTCCTTCTGGTACCTCCCCCACAAAGGGGTCAATATTTTGAATAATTATAACCCTCATAAAATCTGAAAGAAGAGTCCGATTGCCTTTAAATTGGGTATATCGCAATATTTTCATTAATACAAGACTTAGTGTAAATGTGGGTTACATCAGTTCACTCATTCTGGTACCTCCCCCATAAAGGGGTCAAAATTTTGAATAATCAAAACGCTCATAAAAGATGAAATATGCTTCCGATTATCTTCAAATTTCGCACATCGCAATATTTTTACTAACACAACATGTGGTGTGAATACGGGATATGCCGGAGTACTCCATCGAGGACCTCCCCCACAAAGGGTCAAAATTTTGAAATAATTATAACCCATATAAAACTTGAAGTAAGCTTCCGATTTTCTTCAAATTTCACGTATTACAATATTTTTATTAACTCAATATCTGGCTTGAAGATGATAGATATCGGCCCACACCTTCTGGTACCTCCCCCACAAAGGGGTCAAAATTTTGAATAATTATAAACCCTTATAAAAGCTGAAATTAACTTCCGATTCTCTTGAAATTTCACACATCCCAATACATTTATTTACACAAGATTTGATGTGAAGTTGGCAGATATCGGACAACCCCTTCTGGTACCTCCCCCACAAAGGGGTCAAAATTTTGAATAAACAAAACGCTCATAAAATGGGAAGTAAGCTTCCGAATCTCTTCAAATCTCATACATCGCAATATTTTTGTTAGCACAAGATTTAGGGTGAATATGACGGATATTGGCCCACAACTTCTGGTACCTCCCCCACAAACGGGTCAAAATTTTAAATAATCAAAACGCTCATAAAAGATGAAATATGCTTCCGATTATCTTCAAATTTCACACATAGCAATATTTTTATTAACACAAGATCTGGTTTGAAGTTTATAGATATCGGTCTACCCCCTCAGGTACCTCCCCCACAAAGGGTCACAATTTTTAATACTTATATCTCAGCGATTTTCTTCAAACTTGGTGTATTTACATATTTCTCTTTTTTTTCCAAATATCTCCCTTATATTCCTATCCCCCAGGGACTGTGTCATGCAAACAGGTCATAGCCAAGACCATAAAAATTTATTTTTTTCTTGGCCCCTCAAAAAAATTGTTGCTCTGGTTTGCATGTTGCAACTGCGAAATATATTTTTGGTCATTTAAGTCATGTGAGCCAAGTATGGGTATGATGTTGGACCATTACACACACTACCGATGTTGTTGTTTTTGTTATTATTTGTTGAAATGTGCCACAAACCCATTAAAAGGTTACTCTGGCATATTTCTCTTGACGCTGCTTATCGCCGTTTTGGTGGTGGTGTTGGTCATTAGAGTTGTTACGATTGCTGTTGGCCAAAAAAAACAACAAAAATGGAATCATTCAATGTTGCACATAACGAGCAACATGCCAGCCAATGAATGTTGTTAGTGAAACCATTTTAATTGTGGCAATTGTTTGTTGCACGTTATGTCTCCGGCTGTGTGTGTGTGTTTGTGTGTGTTATGGACTATCGTCATAGCATTTTTCTGGCACTTGCAGTGGCTCATTTAATCGGCTACCTTTGCGAAATTATATAAATGATTTAATTTCTTTTGGCATTTTTTCCAACCATCCACCCAACCACTATACCCCCCGCGGTTTCTGCCATTTGCTTTACGGTTCATGCTTCAAATGGTCGTTTGGTGGGGGGGTGGGGGGATTTTGTTGTAATGTGTTGTGTTTTTTCTCATTCCTGGGCAATGTTGGTGTTGTTGTTGTTGCCGGCACACTATAGGTGTTCCGCATTGATTTACAAAACAGCGTTTTCATTAACACAGGTGGAGCTAAATTCGACTCCCGCCGCATTAAAAACGTTTTGTAATTTCCTCCATGGGTAATTAAGTTTATTTTATGCGGATTTCGGGGGTATGGGAAAGCGATATTCATATCATGAATATATATGTTTTAATTGAATTAAACAAGTATTTAAAATAATAACAATTTATTTCGGATTGATTACAGGCTGCTGATGAGGCGATAAAATGTTAATGTTTAATAGCAATGTAAACAACATAATTAAGGGGGGGTATATACAGGACAATATATGACTACTACTGTGCAGGACAAGAAACTATACTTCAATACTTAAATTATTTTAAAAATAGAACAAAAATTAATCAGGCTTCAATTTTTTTATAAAAAAAAATATTCCAAGCGTTTTAGATGATTTCTAAATTTTGTATTAAAATATAAACTTCTTTGGATTGGGAAATTATTTTAAAATATCTACAAACTTATAAAGGGATCCTGAAATAATTAAAAACTTTTGAACTGAAATTTTTGTCTTTAAAGAAGTTTCCAACAAATTTTTCAAACTAACCACGTAAACCATTTATTTCCCCATTATTTTTCACTGCCACTTATTTTATTTTCAGCTGCAAAAGTTTCAAGAACAACAAACGCGGTGAACTCTGTCGCATACCCGGCTGTACTGTACTGCCAGCAACGCCCGGTTCCCCCACGTCGGTACGCCTGCCGCATGTCCACCCAGAGGTATTTCGTCAATTTATACTCTATGTCTATACGGCAAAGGTAAGAAGCTACCAACTAAATATCCCTAAAATACAATTAAAAATCCGAAAATTTCCCCCCACAGATTCTACTGCAAGACTCACGTGTCTTTGAAATGATGACATTGGCCCAGGACATGGGCTGCTGTGAACTACGTTCAGCCTGTGAGGATCATGTCATTGCCACGCTGTCGGTGGACAATGCTTGTACATTTTTGACAGCTGTTATGGAGATTCATGAAAAAGCGGGTGAGTCGAAGAATTTTTTAACCAAAAATTAAAGAATCTTTCAAAATATTCCAAAAAATTTTGATTACACAGCGCCATCTATGTAATGTAACATAAAATATACGTTTTCGTAATGTATCATTCACAATAATTGCTTAGCAAAGATACACACATTTGTGAATGACTAACATAATGAACACAGCTTTAGCCGTATTACCAAACACTGAACACACTCTACACCATAAACATTAAGGATGTTCAGTTGGTACGATATATTTATGTTATTTTATATTCGGCAAGCCACAACGTTTGAGATAATGGAATATAACATCCAAGAAACGAGAAAATTATATTCCGAGACAATACTAACACATTTCTAATAATTTTTAGTCATAATTACACACAACCTTGAAAAAATACGAGAAATAGGCTATAAATGCCTTTAATTTTAATTGGTATCACAGGGAAAAATTAAGAAGGTGAAGTCGTTTAAAAAAATAATATCCATCTCTGCATTTTCTTTAATTGTCACCGAATAACATAAATGTTTCCTTCTCTGATTTGTGTATATACAATGGATTTATAAATATACATTTTGACAATGAGATGTTGTCAAACGAATAATTTTGAAAAAAAAAATATTGTAAACATTTGATAACATGGCTTTACATTCTTGATTCTACCATTCCGTTTATAACTCCTCGAAATAAGCATTTTAGACCCCAAAGTACATATATTTTTGATCAGCATAAGATTCTATATCGATTTACCCATGTCCATCCGTCTGTATGTCTGTCTGTCTGTGGAGATCACTCTCGTTTTCGAACGGAATAATGTATGTTGACAGATTGTTGTTCAGTTTGTGTTCCCTGTATCTAGGACAGATCCTTGCAAAGAACTGTCCATATACATTCAGGTCTATGAATAGTCCCCATATAACTATACCCCTGATATTCGATATTTTGTTGATTTATGTCACATTTTTCACCGGAATTGTATCAAATTTGGTATTTGAAGTTCGTAATGGATACTATTTCCAATTATAAAAAATTTTCTGTGCAGATCCACATCTTCGATCCCATACGAAGGTATCTACCTATACTCGCTATTTTTATGATGTTAGCTAAAATGTTCAACAGAATTGTCTCAAACTTTTTGTTAGGAATTCGTAATAGGCATCGCCCTCATTGACAGAGATTGAGGTTCGCGTTTTCTCATAGCCCCACACAACTGTAACACCTGAAATTGGGTATTTAAATGATTTCTGTCACATTTTCACCTGAATTCTTTAAAATTCGGTATTTGGAGTTCGTAATGGGTACTACCTCCTATGACGGAAAATTGTGTATACAAATCCACTTTTTTTGTATAGGTCCTATATAAAACGTTATCTTCCACTATTTGGTATTTTGGTGATTTCAGCTGCATTTTTCAACAGAATTATCTCAAACTCGGTGCTTGGAATTTGTAATAGGCACCTTCTCTAGCAGATAAATGACTCCACGTTGTCGTATAGCCTCATATAACGGTGAATCTTGATATTAGGGAATTTTTAAATTATGGCGGCAACGGAATTTTTACATTTTGCTCGTTTCGTGCAATGGTTGAGGATTTTAAAAGTTCGGTCCGGCCGAGCTTATCTGCTTTTCTACTTTTTTTTAATAAAAATTATTTTCATACCTTAAATATTTGCGTATAGTGAATGACATATTTTACAAAAATAATCAAATATTTCTTATTTTCGGCGTTCATTGGGACGAAAAAAACAATTATTTCATCCATATCGTGAAAATATAAGAATGGAAGTTTTATATCTTGATTTCAAGGAAATTTTCTCAGCGCTGTACGTTGTTGTGTAGTCCTCGTACCTGTAGTATAGTTTTATGACAAATAATTTTGTAGAATATTTCGATTTTCTTTACTATTCCATTAAAAAGGGAGTTTTTAGTCGCATTTAAAAAAAAACAACAGTTATTTTAGGGTTAAAATTGTCCACCGAAATTCTCCTCTTATTATTATCTGCAATATTGCCGATGACACTATACACCTAAAATGCACTGATTCCGAGGAATCTTAATCCGAAACTGTCGAAAAGTCTAGAATAATAGGGAAATTGCCCCCTTTTTTATTTTTCGGTGAAATCTTTCAGAACGCCGATACACGTGTCTTCTCTATTTAGCTCTATTTTCATTATCTCCCGCCCGTATTTATTTTTTGTGTTGCACAGTGTAATGAACAATGAATGAAATTCATAGTTTTACTAAGAAATATAATTCGAGCTGCTTTCTCATACATTTCCAAGGCATAATTGGTTAAAATCTTTAATTTGCAATGAATGTTTCCGATAAAATAATAATTGATTCTTATTTTGAAAAAATCCTGTTTTTTACTTATAAAAATAAATGCAAATAACTAATAAATATGTTATGTTATATGGCAATCCTTCATATATATTAGTCAATAAAAATGTTGCAATCACCCAATTTTTGTACTTGTCAAAAGTTTTTTGTATTTTTTTTTTTTTGCTTCTTTTTTATCTTTGTCTATAAGATAAACATTTTTTCCGATACAAGAACCATTTTCTAGTAAATAGTAAAAATAATAATAAAAGAAGTTGATTTTTATATATTTTGGAACGGTAGTATGAAACATTTACAATAAATTAATCGAAAACCTAAATGTGAATAATGCAAACATGGCATTATGATTTGACATTGTTATAAGGCTATGTGAACCACCCTGGAAACTACTTATCGCCGCCGTCATTGCATGTCATATGAACACAACGCCGTTGTCATTTTACTGTCGCCTACGTCATATTCCTTAAGACGCCGGGCTAAGAAACGTTTACCAAACAAAAATTAATAAAATCATAAGAAATTCTTGATATTCCGCTGAAAAGGTCTGCAAAACAACTGCCAAAATGTCCTTCAAAGGCAACACCAAAGTACAAAAGGTGATGGTACAGCCCATCAATTTGATTTTTCGTTATTTACAAAATCGTTCCCGCGTCCAAGTGTGGCTGTATGAAAACGTCAATTTGCGCATAGAGGGACACATCGTGGGATTCGATGAATACATGAATCTGGTGTTGGACGATGCCGAGGAAGTTTGGGTGAAGACGAGGACGCGTAAAAACCTCGGACGCATTATGCTGAAAGGGGATAATATAACGCTAATTCAAAATGTTAGCCCGTCCAAAGATTGAGGTTAAGTCAGTGCTGGAAAAATAAACAAACCAAGGGGGAAATGTAGCGTCAGGAAGACAATAACAAAAGCGCTAATCTATGAAGTCAACTGTCTCCAAAGGCCTTGGCGTTTATTCACTTTCTCTCCCGTACACTAGTATAAGTTGTATAATTTATATAAACAAATTAATAATCATTTTTGTCTCCTTTAAGATTCCCATGTTTCCTTATGATTTTCCATGTTTTTCCCTCTAGATACTATAAAGACTTAATGCAAAACAAATGCTCTGCAGATTTTGCGTTTTTGTAACAAATACAAAATCATTGTAAAGGGTCTGTATTGGAAGCATTTATACCTCAAATTTTACAAGACAAAAGAGAATGCAAAAACAATAAACTTGAATTTTAAATGGAATGTCATTAAAGAGAGTATTTGATTTTCATTGCAGAATTGGGTCTAATGTGTGGTTCAAGAATACAGACTGCAGCTATACTTATAACCCGCAAAATATGGATTATTAGAGGAATAGTGAGTTTGAGGGCCCTGTTCGAATGTATTGAAATTGTCTCTTTAATAGGCCAATAGTCGAAGGGAAAAATTCCAATAAAAACGTATTTGAAATAAATTCCTTTATAAAATTATAACTTAATGTTATAAGCTTAAAAACTATACCCCATATCGATAAACTTATACTATTTTTATGCCTAACTAGAGAAATGTAGAATTGCTAGTAAATTTCTGGCAAAAATTGAAGGGACATGAATCAAGTTGGGAGGTTAGCGTGTTAGAGCATATTTTGTTAATTACTTCGATGGTTTTAATTAGCGTATTTTTGGGATGGATGGGAATCACGTTTTTGTATTGATCATTAAAAAGCTTTCAACAGCAAACAATTTGAATGGCTTGTGGTTTTGCAATAATCTGGATGACAGGCTCAAATTGGCAGGCCGACCTGACCAACTCTGTCGTTTGAAATGCTTAAGAATATTGATTTCAAACGTGAATACAAATCAATTTAAAATTACCTTACGTGTGGACCCGAAATGTCTAACCGAGTGGATTGATGCTAGGATAGGTAAGAATAGTTCTTCTTCACATACTTCGGGCTTGACCAAATTCAATTTAGTTACTTGCTAATACTACCTCGGTTTTGGTACATTTAAATATCTTAAAATTCCCTTTCATTTCCACTTTTTGATCCCAATCTTCATCATACCTAGTTGAGGGTATTAGCTTTTACTTTGGATGATTTTCCACAAACCTTTTCAGAAGAAAAATAAACTTCCTTATTAATAATGTCCTGGCTTTCACTATTGTTAGCCTTATGAAGGTTTTACCTTTAAAAAATAGAAAAATATAAAATCACCTTCATTTCGCCTGGAACTGCAACTGGGACCTTCAAACCTCCAAAAATTGTTTGTAGATTAAGTTTCGTGACGACCGATTGCTTTTAAATTTGATTGGAAATTGTATGAAATTTTCAAAATATCCACAATTAAAAATGACGTATAAAATAATTTAAATAAATAGCTTGTGATGGGCCTTTTGACACTTGATATCCTGAAGTGCGTACTCCGATAGATCTATGAGGTGTGTACGTGTACGATTCACATTAATCGTGGGGGTTTCTAATTGAATTTGTTGAAATACAAATCAATAGATAATATTTTCTTTACTTATTGGGAGATATTTCTTAACGCCTTAAAGTATGCTTTGAATATTTACTTCAATTAGAAGGGATGCTTGCAGTAACTAACCAAGTTGTTGACTGAAACAAATCGGATAAATTATGTTTATTTAGATTAAAAATTGTACAAAACGCCTAAATGGAACTCGTGGCAAACGAAATATGGAGTTGCGTATATCCGAATATCCTTTATATTCATTTATATTGCAATTGTTTATAAAGCATTACAAAATATAATATATTATAAAGTATTAAATATAAAGTGAAGGCCAGTGAGTTATCATTAGCGATCTGATTTGTATGTGAGTAGGTTAGTTTCCAATAACGGAATGTTTGTTATAAGCGTTTCTACATTTAAAAATTTAATTTGAATTTATTTTAATGACTGTTTTTATTTTCAGGTGCAAAATGTGCTGCCTCATTTATGGAACGTTGCATTATCTATATTGGAGAAAATGCCAGGGAGTGTGTCAAGACAAATGCCTTTCTTAACCTCAAAAAGGAAGCCCTAATCAAACTAATATCTTCAGATTATGTGAGAAGAAAAAAACATCTACCATTTATGTGGAAATAATAATTACTTTCCATATTTTCAGTTCTGTTTGGAAGAAGAAGACGTCTGGCGTTGTGTTTTGGCTTGGGCCAAAAATCAGGCTGGCGTTACCCAGCCATCTCACACCCATTGGACGGAGGAGGAACGTGCGCGGGTATGTCAACACTTACAAGGTGTCATTTGTCATGTTCGTCTGCTGCTCATCGATAGTCAAGTATTCGCTGAAGAGGTGGAACCAACAGGTGCTGTACCCATGGAACTCTCGCTGGAACGTTACCGGTATGCGGCATTGCAAAATTCAAATAAAACTGGAACATATTCAGGTGGAGGGGGAGGTGGTGGTGTCAGTAGTAATGGTGGAGGTAGTGCCTTTAATAGTTTGACGGGAAGTGGCATCAATTTTTCCGGGTCCAAAAGTGAGACAGATAAGAGGTTACAGCCTCGTCTCATGGTTAATATGTTTCCTGGTTCACAGATATTGAGGAATGAAAAACTGCATTTGCAAAGTGTTTTGAATAATTGGTGAGTATAGTTTTGGAAAAGTTGAGAAGGAATTAAAATTTAGAAAATAAAATTTGTTTATTTTCAGGTATGGTGCTCCCAAACAATCCTGGCGTCTGTTATATCGTGCCTCTACCCATGGCTTCAATTCGAATGCCTTTCATCGTTACTGTGATGGTGCTGCTCCTTGTATGGTAATATGTTTGGTATGTTTAGAATGAATTCCAAAAAAAGGAGTTTGTTTTTAATTTTTTTTTAATCTTAGGGTTCCCATGGTGAAATAAGTGGTGGTTTCACCGATGTTGCCTGGGCCAAAACCTCACGCAAGGGTGTTTACATCCATTCGGAGAGGGCATTTTTGTTTGCCCTTAATCCTGGGGGCTCTGAACAGCCATTGAAGTTTGATATTGTCAAGAAACCCTATGCCATATGTTATCATCCGGAGTAAGTCTTGGATTTTTAAGGAAATTGTGACAAAAATTGTGATTTTCAATTTGTTTGTAGTTGCGGCCCCATTTTCGGAGCTGGTGCTGACTTGTTAATATCTAACAATTGCAACAGTAACAAGGATTCCTATTCTAATTTACCACATTCCTATGATGGTCCCAATGCTTCCTATGAAACGTTGTTTGGTGATTATAATTTTTCAATTGCCGATTATGAGGTTTTTACCACGGCATAGCAATGAAAAGAAGAAGAGAAATAAAAGGAATTGAGGAAAATGTTGAGTTTTAATTTATTTATGGAGCCTGGAAAATGGTTTTTATAAAGAAGAAGAAATGAAGACCAGTGAATTTCGGGAAGTGTTAAGAGACGAGACCACAAAGTCTATTATAGGCGGGCTGAAGGGCAAGGGAGTCTAAAAAATAGCTGAAGGGCCAATGAGTCCATTAAAGACGATTTAACGGGCTGGTCAGTCCATCAAAGACAAGCTGACGGACCCTGAGGCTATAATAGACTACATTAAGATCCCGTGGTTCCTTGAGAGATGAACTGAAGGCCTGTGAGGTTATAATAGACGAGCTGAGGAGCCAGTGCGCCAAAAGATGATCTGAAGGACCTGTGGGTCCTTGATGAACGAGCCTAAGGGCCAATGACTCTTTCATAGACAAGCTGAAGGTCCTAAGTCTTTCACAGACGAGATAAAGCGAGAGTGAGGTTGTGATAGACAATCTAATAGGCCTATGGGCGAGCTGAAGGGCTCGTGAATCTATCATAGGTGAGTTGACAGATCACTGAGTATATCATAGATGAGCTGACGGGTCAGTGAGTCTATCATAGATAAGCTGACAGGTCAGTGAGTCTATCATAGATGAGCTGACCGGCCAGTGAGTCTTTCATAGATGAGCTGACCGGCCAGTGAGTCTTTCATAGATGAGCTGACCGGCCAGTGAGTATTTCATAGATGAGCTGACGGGCCAGTGAGTCTTTCATAGATGAGCTGACGGGCCAGTGAGTCGTTCATAGATGAGCTGACGGGCCAGTGAGTCTTTCATAGACGAGTTGACAGGCCAGGGAGTCTTTCATAGACGAGTTGACAGGCCAGGGAGTCTTTCATAGACGAGTTGACAGGCCAGGGAGTCTTTCATAGACGAGTTGACAGGCCAGGGAGTCTGATGCAGACAAGCTGAAGGGCCAGTGAATCTTTCATAGACGAGCTGAGGGGCCAGTGAATCTTTCAAAGACGAGCTGACGGGCCAGTGAGTCTGTCATAGACGAGCTGACGGGCCAGTGAGTCTTTCATAGACGAGCCGAAGGGCCAGTGAATCTTTCATAGACGAGCTGAGGGGCCAGTGAATCTTTCAAAGACGAGCTGACGGGCCAGTGAGTCTGTCATAGACGAGCTGACGGGCCAGTGAGTCTGTCATAGACGAGTTGACGGGCCAGTGAGTCTGTCGGGCCAGTGAGTATTTCACGACGGTCTGACTTGCCAGTCTTCGTAGAGCTTTCGTAGACAAGCTGACGGGCCAGTGAGTCTCTGATAGACGAGCTCACGGGCCATTTAGTCTCTGATAGACGAACTCACGGGCCAGTGAGTTTCTGATATATGAGCTGACGGGCCAGTGAGTCTGTTAGCTGGACTGCCAGTGACTCTTTCATAGAAGAGCTGGCTGCCAATGAGCCTCTCATAGACGAGCAGACGCCCCTCTAGGTTTATGAAGGATTAGCTTAAGGATTAGTGATTCTTTAAGAGACGGGCTGAAAGGCCAGTGAGCCTGTGATAAGTGACCAAAGGGTCTCTGTAGGTCAACTTTAAATAGGGCGGGTTATGTGGAAGAGCTGAAGAGACAATCAATCATTAAAAAACTAACTTAAGGCACATTGAGTCCATTTTGAATGAGCTGATAGTTAAGTAAGTCAATAACAGACTAGCTGGGGGGCTAGTGAACGTATCATAGGCGAGCTGGTTAACCTGTAAGTCTGTAGCCGTTCCCAAGTGTCTGTGAGTATGTATTGACGAGCTGAAGGGCCTGTAAGTTTACGATCGGCTGGAAGACTTAAATTACCTTGAAGAAGACTTACCTTACTAACCATCCGATCTTTTTGACAAAACTGCTTTTTTGTTTATTTAACCTGGGAAATTTTTCTTCAATATTTGAGGTTATGTATCTCCTTTTTCCTTTCTGCTTCTCTTCGCTTTTGTCATATCAAGAATTTGCACCATTTTTAGCCATAATATGATAAATTCCCATAAAAAATGCTGGTTTTGTTTCTGCACTCAGCGGGTAGTCCTGGCAAATTCATGACCCATTCAAATGAGAGATCTTGAGTTTAGATAAAAAAATTAAATCAGTTCGAGCTGAATTTGTATGATGCGTTGTTTTTGTTTTTTGTTTTGACAAAATTGTCAAGGCACGCAATGACAAGGAAAGTGGAATGAAAATGTGAAGGCATTGTGTCCTTCATTAAAAAGGCGGGAGATGATGAGGTTTCACATTTTATCTGAAATGTTTATTTTTTGTTTCGTTTAGTGTTAATTAAAATTTATTTTAATTTCAATATCAAATGATTTCAATTCGATGCCATTTTTGGCCGCCTTAATTTCCTATTAAGTCACAAATAAAAACACCTCAACAGCAGTCAGGTCTTGTTTTCGTTCGAATTTTATGAATTTTTAATATTTTTGTGATCACTTTGCTGTTGTTGTTTTTCTTTTGGCTTTCTAGGTGACTTGTTTGCCGAACTTGGTGTCTGTTGATCCCATAAATCTTTTCGATAATAATATGCTTTTAACAAGTTCAAGCTTTTGTGGTATTTGGCGCCTTAATTATGCTATTATTTGTTTGCGGGTCCCCCCACTATTCGGTTCGCTCTTATCTCTGGCCATCGATCGCTCGCTTTCTGGCTGGCTGTCTGATTTAGCTGATCTAATCGAGTGTTAACGACACAAATGTCAATCTCATTATTCCTTAGCTGTTATTTGCCACCGAGTGCTGGGCGAGCTCAAGTTCCAACCGGCAGCTAGACCAGCAGTTTTATTTTTTTTTTTTTGCCACCATTACCATTACTACCGCTCATATCATTCGTTATGAAATTGGATCGTGCGGAGGGGAAAAAACCCCACATTTGACAACCAAATTAGAGTAGATCTATTTTGGGGAGGCCGATTCATACTTGGCATGATTAACGTTCGGAATTAATTAAATATGTAAATAATAAAGTGTATGTTTTTCTTGGACATTTATTCGGGTTTTTTTTTTTTTTTTTGAGGCAAATTAAAATGATAAACTTTATTGTTTGAAAGTTGGTGGGGTTACGAGGGCTGGGGAAGTTAAACGGCAGACAGAGCGGAATATCTAAGGAGTCTCTAGAGACTTGCTGGAAGGAGTCTTCCTCTCTATTTATACACTACAACACCAGGTGTTGGGGGGTATTATAAGTTTGATTGGATCAAACATTTCCAAATATTGGTCCTAGACCCCCATGTCATTAAAAGGATCTTCATATCTCGCCGAGCTGAGTCAATCTATCCATGTGTGTCCGTCTGTCCATGTTCATTTTCAATCAAGATACAGGTCGCAATTATGTACCGATACTCACAAATTTTTAAGCGAATGTTAGAAGCCTATTTAGGCGGGTGGAATGATCGCATAATATTAAGGGATTAAAATAGCCCAAAAACGAAAAATTTATTGATTTTGCAGTAGCTCTAAAGGTCACAAGTATAGAACGATCAAGTCGGAATTTTGCATGGGGTAAAAGTATGAGGCAAGGTAGACGTCTACCAACTTAGAGGGTGAAATGGACTTTGTGTAAAAATCCGATACCTCGGGTATATCCAATATATGAGAGTGATAGTACCATAACATACTGAGTAGCTGACCAAGAATAAAAGCCCAGATGAAACGGCTGAAGATAGAATCTTGAAATATTGTACAAGGTACAATCTTGGTACGCAGACTGGGTTTTTAGATATCCGTACTAAAATGGAATACGAAATGTACTGTTATTTACTAAAAATTTAATATTTTGTATTGGACTAACGGATTGAGCCAGAATTCTGAAAAGTGCAATGAGAGACACAGAGGGAGTGCATGATAGATATCCCAACGAATTTTTGGAAATTCGATGCTTAAGGCTACGAAAAGTTCTAAAATGGTACTAAACTTCGGAAATGGTACCATTTGGTATTATGTGAGCGAATGGAGCTAAACATTTGAAATTTGATATGAGAATCAAGGTTGGAATATAAGTTTGTTTGTATGGAGGAGGTTTCAGAAGTGTGTACTAAGTGATCGAACTGTGCTAAATAAGGAATAGTTTGGTTCAGGGTGAGGGGATGAAGCTGGAATCCCGAAATTTCATATTGAGGTTACTGTGGAGTGCATGAGAACTGCTGATGGAGTGCATGATAGATGTACCCAAGAATTTTGGAAATTCAAATTTTAAGGTTAAGAAAAGCTCTAAAACGGCACTAAATTTCCTAAATGGTACCATTTGGTGTTACGGGAACGGATGGAGCTAAAAATTTGAAATTTGATATGAGAATCAAGGTTGGAAAGTAAGTTTAATATATGAAAGTGGTTTTGAAAATGTGTACTAAGTGTGCGAACTGTACTAAATGGTACTAAATTGGGAACAGGTTGGGTTAGGGTGAATGTATGAAGCTGGGATCCCGAAATTTCATATTGAGATCAATCTTGAAATGAGAGCTACTGATGGAGAGAAGGATAGGAGTACCTAAGGATTTTGGAAATTCAAATTTTAAGGTTACGAAAAGTTCCAAAGTGGTACTAAACTTCTAAAACAGTGCGATTTGGTGTTATGAGAACGGATATAGCTAAAAACTTGAAATTTTGTATGAGAATCAAATAATTTTTTGTGTATGAAGGTGATTTCGGAAATGTGTACTAAGTACTAAATGGTACTAAATTTCGAACAGATTGGTTTAGGATGAACGTATTAAACTGGAATTTTGAAATTTTGTTTTGGGGTCCCCGTTGGTGGTAGGTTTATGATAATGAGATGATTTTCGAAATATGTACTACAAGTGCACGAAAAGTACGAAATAGTACTATATTTGGTACAATTTGGTATAGGGTGAACAGATAGTGCTTGGAATCTGTAATTTGGTATTAGGGTCGATGGGCTGCAGCTAGAATCTTGAAATTTTGTGCAAGTGGGTTTTTGGAAATTCGTACTAGATCAGTACGAAAAGTACTAAAAATGTAATACTTTGTATTTGATAAAC